GAGAACGCGAGTACGTACTCGCGTTCTCGTGAATTGAGAAACGCCCCTAGTTTCCAATGATGGCGGCCATTAGGGGGCGGGGCTAAAAATGAGTACCTGCTGTTGCATTACTCCCGCAGAGTCGCACATGTCAGGTGGAATTTTCAAATCTCATTTTATTTGTTTACACAGCTATAAAACAAAAAGTATTAGTGAAAAAATTAATTTTAAACATGTTTTAGAAATTTTAAAGCCCCATTTGAAAGGCGTGTGGATGAAACACCCTGTGACTGAGTTTGGGCCATTTCTATCACTAGATAAACATGAGTAGGAGGCAGTTGGGCCTGGTACCGGGCCTGGCGGGCTAAACTGGTTAAAGCATAAGAAACCTGAATAGATTTGAGTTCAGACCCAGTCCTTAGTCCTGTTTTAAACAGAGAACTCACCTCTGTGTTAGCTCTCTATGTCAGTAACTTCTTATAGCGCAGCAAAATCATTTACTGAGCAACCTGACAATGATTCAACAGTGTCTGGTAGCAGCACCTCACTAGATTTATTTTCAAAGCCTCATTCAAAATATTGTACTTGTCATTTAACCCTGAAATAAAGAAAAAAGAAATATTGTACCAGTTTGAGTCCTTTGCAGTAGATCTTAGTGAACCACTGGTTGAAAGACAAAGCTGCTACAGCCAAAGCTAGGTCTCTGCAGAAAGGAGAAAAAGCCAAATGTAACAAAGATAGCGCATAACGGGCCTCTAAAAAGTAGCTGGCTTCCTTACTTGCTTTCTAAATGGCTAAAGTCCTGTAGGTTGAACTTTTTCCAGTTGTGTGTGTAGTAGATGTTGTCGATGTCCTACACAAAGAGCAGCATTGTCAATATAATTCCCAGTAGCCGTTAAGCTGTTTGGTTTGTGGTGACTTACCCACTGAATCTCCTCTCTGAATGGAATTTCATTCAAATCACAAAGAGCAGCGTAGGTATCTGAGAATCCTCCTGAGAGACAACATTAAAGCACACAAAACAAGGTGTACAACAACATCCAGCTTTGTTAAAGTAGAGAAGAGGTTCAGTGCTTCTTAACCTGACTCTAGAAAGAGGACAGGAGCTCACCACAGGGGCCAGGCTGGCTGTTCAGCTGCTCCTCTATGACACCAGTCAGTTTGAGCAGCCTCTCCTGGAGGTCCTGGGGAGCCGTCTTTACCAGCTTCCTGAGAATGAAAGTGCGGGAGGTGGGGGATGAACTGAGAACAAGGGCTCTTCAAGCTCTGTCTGGTTTTACTGCACATAAACTAAATGCCTTAGTGTTTGCATTGCTCATATAAGCTTTACTTTGATTTGCAATTTTTCCACTAAGTCAGACTCACCACCGGTAAGTGAAAATGGGGACAAACACGAAGGACGGCCTTACGTTAACATATCACCAGAATGATTGACAGTTAGGAGGACCACTTATTGAGGTGATCCACCGGAAAAAGAACACCACAGGCGGAACTCTCTGAAGGGCTGGTGGGGAGAGTCCTCCGCAATAATTTTTGCTTTTTTCCCCTTTCTGCTCACTTACTGTAGCCAAAGGTAACAGAGGTTGGGTGCAGCTATCTTTGTTCAGAGCATTCTGAGTC